AATTTATTTCAAAAACAAACTCATAGAAAAAGAGATCAGATTGTGGTTACCAGAGGAGGTAAGAGAAAGGAAGAATTGGATGAAAGTTAGTCAAAAGGTACAAACTACCAGTTATACTAACACTGTGATATAATGTATAACTAACTCTGTGGTATGTTATATATACATACTTATAAGAGTAAATCCTAAGAATTCTCATCACAAAGAACATTTTTTTTCTATTTCTTTAATTTTCTATCTATATGAGATGATGGGTATTCACTAAACTTACTGTGGTCATAATTTCATGATGAATGTAAATCAAATCATTATGCTGTATGCCTTAAACTTATACAGTTATATCTCAATAAAACTGGGGGGAAGAAAAGAAGGAATACTTACCATATTTTGTTTGTTTGTTTGAATACTTACCATTTTTTGAGCACTTCAGTTCAGTTCAGTCGCTCAGTCGTGTCCGACTCTTTGCGACCCCATGAATCGCAGCACACCAGGCCTCCCTGTCCAATCACCAGCTCCCGGAGTTTACTCAAACTCATGCCCATGGAGTCGGTGATGCCATCCAGCCATCTCATCCTCTGTCATCCCCTTCTCCTCCTGCCCCCAATCCCTTTGAGCACTTACTACATGGCAAATATTGAGTTAAGTATTTTGCCTAGGGGTAGCAGTGAAGAGTTACTGGATGCTGAATTTGTGCCAAGTGGAGTGCAAAATGTTTTACATGCATTTATCTCCTGTGTTCCTCATAATAACCCTTCAGTGTTCTTCATATAACACACGAGTAACCTGCAGTACAGACAGGCAGAATCGTTTGCCTCTGGTCACGAAATGAGCTCTCTTCCTATTCCTTTCCTCCCCTTCTCTTCTTCTCAAGTTAAAAAGTTAATATGCTTATTAAATCCAGGGGGCGTAAAGTAAAAGTGGAGTGCCTGCCGGCCTCCAGAGGTAACCTCTATTAACAACTGGGTGTGTTCATTTCCACACCATTTTCTATTAGAGCCAAGACTTAAATCCCATCTTTTCTGACTCCAAAGCCTTTATTCCTAATGAATATTCAATACTTTCTTCCATAGGCAAATAGCAAATTATATAATTATATACAATTATATACATATGCTATAAAATGAAATGGCTCTTAAAACTCGTATCAATGGGATTATTATTGAAAAGCAGGAAAAGCTAAAACATATTAAGTACCATCTCTCTGATACAAAGAGCCTTTTTATCCACAGCATAAAGAAGACTAAATTAACTAATTAATTAAAACTAAAAGAGCTTTTGACAAATGACACCCTGCAAGTACCTTTAGTGAACTTGCCACTTAGCCAACTGTTGACTATAAAAATAGAAAAAATAAGGCATGTGACCAAAGAGGAGGAACAAAAGCAGCTGAAATCGAAAGCAGTCCTGTTGTGCAATAGCTGATCTAGTTGAAGCTGTGCTGTAGAAGAGGCTTGGAGTCACTGGTTCCCACAAAACTCTTGCAGTTTCTAATACTAGATGACCCGTAGAGTACTGACTGTGTGGTATCCCAATGAGGTTATAATGGTGACCAGCAGCTCAGGCATGTTCCACTCTACCTAAGGTCAAGATGAACAGCAAACTATCAATGGTAATGGCACTGGGAAATAAAAACTCATTTCTTCAGGCCATAGAAGGATCCAATTTAAAAAATTACCTTTGCATATTGGAGGATGCCTCATTCTTCATAATCTGAGAAACTAGCCAGTGAGGAGAACCCAGCAGTTGAACTGAGTTAAGATTCTCTCTGCCTTCTACTTCCACATAGCAAACATATTTCACTGGATCTCAGACTAAAGACCTCTTTGTTAATTTTACTTCAAAAAATTTCATCTTTCCTTTTCTTGTATTTCTCTTGTCCCATTTTGGTGTAAAGGTAGTTATACCTTCATAAAATAAAATTCATGGCTTTCCTCCCTCTCCTTTCTCTGCTTGTAATTGTAAATCTCTTAAAATTTAGGATTATCATTTCTTTAAAGGTTTTTTAAAAGGCAGCATAAAATTTTCTGTACCTTCTCTTTTTGTAAGTGAAGAAAGGAGTATTGGCGGAGACCTGAGTACTTTCCATTTCTTGATTGGGTATTGGTTCATCTTTTTTTTTTTCCCTGCAACTTTGTTAACTTTTGTTTTCTAGGAAAATATACACTAAGTTTTCAGTTTATTGGTAAAAAATTCTTTATACTATTCATCCATAATTTTAAGTCTCTGATATTTCTCTAGTTATGTTCCTTTATTTACTCACATCTCTTTCTCTCATATTTTCATTCTCTGTGAGTTTCTTTGTCAATATTTAAAGAAACCTATTTTTATCGACTTTTCAAAGAAACAGCTTTGGGTGTTGAAAGTTTTTGTTTGCTTCCTCTTTGGGGGATTTATCTATTTTTGAACTTGTTGAGTTGAATACTGAATGCTTAATTGACTTGTTTTTAATACTTTTATGTAAATACATTTTCATAATTCCACTTTAGGCGCAGGCTGGCAATAGAAAATTTCCTGGGTTTGAATCTCTGCTCTGTCACTAGCTATATAGTCTTGGACAAGCTATTTCACTGAAGCTCTGTGCTTCAGTTTCCCCTTCTTGTTGTTCAAATCAATTATTCATTATCCTTATTAATGTTTTAAATGCTTGATCCATCATTATCTGAGAGAGATGTCTTAAATTCTCCCAGTTTGGGGATTAACATATCTCAAGGCTGTTTTTTTGGAGGGCGAGGGGGCAATACATACAAGTACATGATGATTCTGTCCTCCTGGTAGACAATTCCTTATCTTAATAGTATATCCCTCTTTTTGCATTAAATTATATTTTTGCAAATATTAATATTATTATACAAAATTTGGTTTGTTTAGAGTAGATGTTGACAGATTTGTATTTTTCTGTATCTTCATTTTCAAAGACACCAAGCTAGTGAATGGCAAAACCAGTTTTATTCCTAGACCCAGTCCTTTGTTCTTTTTTCCTGGCCATGATACATCCTAAGTCTACCTTCTTTCATGAATCAGCTGTTACTCTTCACTGTGAGGCCTCTGCCAAAACCTCAGCCTATAGTGACTGCTTCCTCCTCCTCTGAATGCTCAATGCCAGCAGTACTTATTCAGTCCTGAAAATGTTCTCTTCTAGTGTTGTATGTGCATCTATCCTGGAAGTCCCTTAAAAGCTAGAATAGGTTTTTTTTAAATTATTTATTTATTTGCTTTTGGCTGCGGTGGGTCTTCATCACTGCATGCAGGCTTTCTCTAGTTGTCGCAAGTGGGGCTATTCTCTAGCTGCGGTGCTCAGGCTTCTCATTGAGCTGGCTTCTCTTGTTGTGGAGCACAGGCACTAGGGTGCGTGGCTCAGTAGTTGTGGTGTGTGGGCTCAGTAGCTATGGCTCTCAGACTTAGTGACTCCATGGCACACGGGATCTTCTGAGACCAGAGATCAAACTGATGTTCCCTGCTTTGAAAGGTGGATTCTTAACCACTGGACCACCAGGGAAGTTCCTAGAATAGGGGTTGTTGATCAAGTTTTAGAAACAGAGAACTGATTGAAATTAAAAAGTGCTAATTTGGGGTTTGTTAGGACTGCAGGATACATAGATTCAAGGAGCAGTTGAATTGTGTTCTGCCAGACTACAAAATGGCTTATAAGGGTAGAAAACTGAAGATTACTATGAGTTACTTGAATTGTTTTTCAAGAATTATAATTGGAGCTGGCAAGAAGTAAGGGTGCTTATTAAGTAAGAATTGGTTGGAGTCTGAAAAGGTTGTCTAGTTACAAAGGGAGACCTTGAGACCACAAGGTTGCAGCTGGCAAGTGTTGTTTTGAATACAACTGGCAGTGTCTTTGGGTCTCAGTTCAGTTCAGTTCAGTTCAGTTCAGTTGCTCAGTCGTGTCCGACTCTTTGCAACCCCATGAATCGCAGCACACCAGGCCTCCCTGTCCATCACCAACTCCCGGAGTCTACCCAAACTCATGTCCATCGAGTCGGTGATGCCATCCAGCCATCTCATCCTCTGTCATCCCCTTCTCCTCCTGCCCTCAATCCCTCCCAGCATCAGGGTCTTTTCCAGTGAGTCAACTCTTCGCATGAGGTGGCCAAAGTATTGGAGTTTCAGCTTCAGCATCAGTCCTTCCAATGAACACCCAGGACTGATCTCCTTTAGGATGGACTGGTTGGATCTGCTTGCAGTCCAAGGGACACTCAAGAGTTCTCTCCAACACCACAGTTCAAAAGGATTAATTCTTCAGTGCTCAGCTTTCTTCATAGTCCAACTCTCACATTCATACATGACCACTGGAAAAACCATAGCCTTGACTAGACGGACTTCTGTTGGCAAAGTAATGTCTCTACGTTTTAATAGGCTATCTAGGTTTGTCATAACTTTCCTTCCAAGGAGTAAGCATCTTTTCATTTCATGACTGCAATCACCATCTACAGTGATTTTGGAGCCCAAAAAAATAAAGCCTGATACTGTTTCCACTGTTTCCCCATCTGGTACAGTTCAAATAGAGCTCAAGTTCTCATGGTGTGGAGATGTGTCTGAGATCAGATCCTCAATGGCCACCTGACTCCATTTTTGTATGCCTGAAGTGTAGTTAATCCATTACAATTTCAATTTGTCATCAAGATTATATATCTTCTGCTAGTGACTCCAAAATTACTTAAATAAGGAGGCTTAAAGATGCAATCTGGTCAGGAAGAGAGTGCCTAGGAGACTTGACTGGAACTTGAATTTGCATAGCAGACATACTATTTTTATTTGTAGTGATTGGGGGGTGAGTGTTACAGAGTTGGGAAGAGGTTAGCTATAGCCCCACATACCATCCTTTAAGCCACCACTGTCCTTGCCTACAATGGTGATTTCCAACAAATCAAAATTACCATGGGAGTCAGATTTTTAAAAAATACTTATTTTTAGGTCCTATTCCAGAGCCACTGAGCTAGAATCTCTTGGGTAGAGTCCGAGATTCTAGTGTTTAAGAACGTCTGCTGGGAAATTCAAGCTGAAGGTATCTTAGCACCTTCTTGGCTGGTAGTAACTTCTTGTAAATACAGGGTGTGCATCCAATCTGGAAACATAAGCAAACACATAATAAATGCTTTAATTGCTACTGTATATTACAATATACAATTAAGTGATAATTCTGTTTCCCAACACCTATTGCTACGGTTAGATTAATTAAACAAGGAGACCATTAGACTGAGGTAGCTTTAATATCACACCTTAGTAGCCTATGTAAGCAAACCAAAACCTAAGGCTGAAATGCATCCAGCTGAAAAAATCAAAACCTAAGGACAGCCTATCACAAACAGCCAAACTAGGCTTCCCTGCATAAGACAACCACCTAACACTATAACCAATCAAATCATTTTCTTGCTTTGCTTCCAACTTTTCTCTATAAAAGTCTTTCCCTTAACTTCTGTCTGTGAAGTGATTCCTAACCATTTCTGGTTTGATATGGCCAAGTTCCAGTCAATTTTTGCTCAAACTTTTTATTTTTATTTATTTATTTTGTTTTTGCTCAAACTTTTAAAATTTTTAGTATGCCTCAGTTTATCGTGTAAGACTACAGAGAGCTTAGTGTAAAATACGCTCTAGTCAAACTGATTTTGTTGTTATTGTTTAGTTGCTAAGTCATGTTCAACTCTTTGGGACCCCATGAACTGTAGCTATCAGACTCCTCTGTCCATGGGATGTCCCAGGCAACAATACTGGAGTGGGTTGCCATTTCCTCCTCCAGGGGATCTTCTCCACTTAGGGATGGAAACCACGTCTTCTGCATTGGCAGGGGGATTCCTTACCCCGGAGCCACCAGGGAAGCCCAAGTAAGCTTTTATTTTTTGTTATTCATTGTGAAGGATATAAAAGAGGAATGAAATAATGGAAAATAACACAAAAATGTTGGGTTGGCCAAAATTTCGTTCGGGTTTTTCCATACCATCTTGTGGAAAAACCCAAAGAACCCAAATGAACTTTTTGGCCAATCCAGTAATAATGACTACCATCTATTGAGCACTTAATACATGTCATGCACTTTATTAAATGTTCTACATGCACTGTTTCATTTATTATTTATTAGACTTAACCTTCTGTGGAGACTGTAATCAGAACCAACTTATCCATTATGCTCACTAGGTACAATGCCTAGGACCCACAAGGCTTTTAGAGGTCCATGAAAATGTTTACGTTTCTTTTAGAATCAGAAGGGAAAATAAAGGAATATAATCTTCCCTGGATATTAGTTTTTCTCACAGCCATAAAATGTAATTTATAATATTTTTTATGGAGTAAGCATCCATGAGCTTACTGAGCTTACATGGAGTAAGCATCCGTGAGCTTACTGAGCTGACATGGAGTAAGCACCCGTGAGCTTACTGAGCTGACATGGAGTAAGCACCCGTGAGCTTACTGAGCTGACATGGAGTAAGCACCCGTGAGCTTACTGAGCTGACATGGAGTAAGCACCCGTGAGCTTACTGAGCTGACATGGAGTAAGCACCCGTGAGCTTACTGAGCTGACATGGAGTAAGCACCCGTGAGCTTACTGAGCTGACATGGAGTAAGCACCCGTGAGCTTACTGAGCTGACATGGAGTAAGCACCCGTGAGCTTACTGAGCTGACATGGAGTAAGCACCCGTGAGCTTACTGAGCTGACATGGAGTAAGCACCCGTGAGCTTACTGAGCTGACATGGAGTAAGCACCCGTGAGCTTACTGAGCTGACATGGAGTAAGCATCCATGAGCTTACAAAAGCAAAATGCCTTTGGGCCTCAGAAAGTCATAATGTAGGCCTTGCTATAATCATTCCCACTTAACAAATAAAGAAACTGAGGCTTAATCACGTGGAGAAATAACACATGCCACAGAGCAAGGAATGGTACAGATAGTTTTGGATATAGCTCTGAGGGACTCTACTGATGACCCTTTTAATTACTACACTATACATTAGACAACATTATGTAGCAAGAAGCTCACACCAAATTTGGAAAACAAATTTGTTTAATACTAACCAATTAGAAAATACTTCAGGGAAAGGAAAGAATATAATTAACTGCCCAAATTCAGGAACAGATCCATACTACCTAGGACCTCAGGCTTTTACAACTTGAAAGATCTTCTTTCAGGAAAAATAGTAAAGTATAAATAAAATTTAGGCCTACAGTTTTTGGAGGGAACTGTCCCAAGAAGGGAGCCTTCAAACGGAAGCCTCACTGTGTGTGTGTGTGTGTGTGTGTGCGCGCGCTCAGTCACATCAGTCATGTCCGACTCTTTGCTAATCTATGGACTGAAGTCTGTCAGGCTCCTCCGCTCATGGAATCTCCAGACAAGAATACTGGAGTGGATTGTCATGCCCTCCTCCAGGGGATCTTCCCAACCCAGGTGTTGAACCTGCGTCTCTTACATCTCCTGCATGGCAGGCAGGTTCTTTACCACTAGTGCCACCTGGGAAGCCTGGAAGCCTCATTAGCCCCATGGCAAAGCCATCTCATCTAAAATGTCCTTGCACCTGAAGAAGGCCAGACAGGAATGAATCGGTGTCAGCCAGGAATATCAGCAGAGAATTTTAGGAGGAGATGGAACTTTGAAGTGTGGCTCTGACTGGGCACCCTGAGTGTAAAGGCAGTGGGGGGAGTGTGAACACTGTCTGTTCAGGGGAGGACAGAAAATGCCAGCTGCCTGAAACCCACAGTGATGCTGGCCAGAGGGGAGCCACTGGGTTTGCTGAGGAAGGCAGTACCTATTTGAAATGCCAGGATGGAAAGTCTGCTGGGAATGTTCATACATTCCTTGGTCTGACAGCCTGACACAGTGAAAGGCATCAAAAAGATGAGAAATCAGGACTTCCCTGATGTCCAGTGACTAAGACTCTGTGCTTCCAATGCTGGCGCCCCAGGTTCAATCCCTGACCAGGAAACTAGATCCCACATGCTGCAACTAAGAGTTCTCATGCTGCGATGAAAGATCCTGCATGGTGCAATAAAGACTGAAGACCCTGCATGTCACAATTAAGATCCAGCACAGCCAAATAAATAAAAATAAATCATTTTTTAATAAGAAAAAAAAAGAGAATGAGAAATCTGGTGCCAAGGGCAGGACTCTTAGGAGGGGTGGAAAGAGGCAAAGAGATCTAATTGAAGGACTATTGTGGGTTTATTTTAATGAGTGCCTTATAAATTATGGGTGGCAGAGAGAAAGGAGGAATGAAATAGAGAAAGAAAGAGACCAAGAATGAAAAAAGATCAATCAGGCAAATGTGAGGACTAGACGGGTCTAAGAGTCAGAAATAATTTTTACATTCTGAGCCTGGTCAGTTAAAGGAATAGCTTTGGGACTGCCAGAAATGTGGTGGTTAGATGCGGTTCTAGAATAGCTAAATCCAGCTATGCCAAAAACTTGAACTAACTGGGCTACATGCATCCCTGGGGGAAGCTGAGTCCTGGGACAGGGAAGTATCTTGAAAGAACTTGAAGGGGTTCTGCTGGTATATTAGCCTTTGCAGTCTTTTCCACATACCAACTCCCCATCAGATCAACACATTCTTTCTCCATTATGTTATCAGCATTTAGAACCTCCAGTCAGGTCTTACCCTTCTAACTGACTTAGAAGCATTTTGCTTTTAACGTGGCTTTTGTTGAACACTATTATGAGATGAGCTATAATTTCACTCTCAGGGTTTCAGATGAGCTATAATTTAACTCTCAGAATTTCAGCCTATCCTGTGCCTCTCTCCAGGTGAGTGGTGAAGAAAACTAGTCACAATGAAAATAGAAAACATAAAGAGAATAAATATGAGAGGGCATTACCAAGATATACAAAACGGGGATATGGAATTAGAAAGAGGGTGGAGTCTTCCGATGATTCAAAATACATTGACTGCATACTCGTTCCACGTCAAGCTCTTTGCTTGGAAAAAAAGATATTACTGTGAAAGAGATGTGGTGTCTGCTTTGAAGGTATGTGAGTTTTCAAGGATGGCTGTTTGGGAAAGTGACAGGGTCAGAGAGAGGATTAAAACAGCAGATTCTAGAGGGTGGGGAGCAAGATGATTAATTTAGTCAAATTTGATGTTCTGAAAAAGGTATGCTATGTCTAATACACAATTGCAAACATGGAAATGGTGTTCATGACAAAAGGCAAGGCAGGGGATACACATGTTAGGGTAGAGAAACCATAAAGTCAGTGTCAGAGGCAGACATAGAAGATGAAACTATTGTTTCCAAGGCTAATAGGGGAGTATCAATGGAGGGTTTTTTTTTTTTTTAATATTTATTTATTTGCCTGCACCAGGTAGTAGTTTAGGCAGTCAGGATTTTCAGCCTTTGTTGTGGCATGTGATTAGTTGGGGCATGCAAACTCTTACTTGTGGCATGTGAGATCTAGTTCCCTGACTGAGGATTGAACCTGGACCCCCTGCGTTGGGAACACCAAGTCTTAGCTACTGGGTCACTAGGGAAGTCCCCAGTGGAGGTTTTCAATAGAATGACAGTTGCTTCAAAACTAAAAAAATGATACAGAATTGGCAAAAGAAAACAAAAGTGTTAAAGAGTGGTGAATATAGCACAGACAAGTTAGCCAAACTTGGAGGAGGATCAACATCAGATCTTGCTTTTTGAGATAGAAATTTCTCTGTAAGTACTTCTTTACCAACATCCCCAGACGGTGATACATAGATTGTGTAATTCCTCATTTCTAAACATTACCCCATGAATTATTTAGCTATAGTTTCTAAATATATGGGGTTGTATTGGTCACGATAGATATATGACAGATATAGCTATAGATACACAGATTTGACTAGAGAGAAATTTAACACAGAGGATTGATTCTCTGGTGGCCACAGACTGAGAAGGCAATTGGGAACACTGAGGCAATCCAGAGATTAGCAACAGCAGGAATTCATTACCAAATCTATGCCTGCGGGATCAACAGAAGGAGGTGGCTTCATCCAAGCTTAAAGCTGAACCCATCTGGAGTGAGTTAGAGCCAAAGTGGGGACTGCCCAACAGAAGCTGGGAGCCAAGAGAGACAATCCAGAGGAACCAAGAAACATCCTTCCTTTTCCCTTT